TGACCAAATCTGGACTCTGAGGTATATTCTCTTTAGTCCCCAGGCTCAGTTTTCATGCCTAGAATTTCCCTATCTCCATGGCCATCATTTTTACCAACACAGAAGAGTGTTAGAGTATTAGAAACTTTATATTTTTCTTGATTCTCTTAATTCTTTTTTTCTCATACAAAAGTAGGAAAAAGCAGGTATCATCTTTGAGAGTCTTTGGTGTATACTTTTAGAATGAAGCCCTTTTCTTGGTTAAATAAGCTTTGACTCTTTACATATGGATGGGGATGTGAAATTGTGTTTCCTTGTAATGGTGTGAGGCTGATAGTAAAACAAATCAAAATGAATTCTCTTCTTGCCCAAATACAAGATTAGACCTTTTTGCTTGATTTTACTGTTGTGCTAAAACGTTTCTCCTGTCTTTAGACAAACTCACATTTCTTAGAAAATTTGATACTGTCTGATTTTATGTTTATGCTTAACTCCTTTCACATCCTTTGACATGGCTGATAGGAAGAAAGCTGCACACTAAAACATGAAGTAGGAAGTAACTCTTAGTAGAGGAGTGGTCTGGGGCTTGATAGTAACTCTGATTTGAGTGTTGACTGTCAAAAAATTCTCATTGATGCAAAAGGAAGCTTACCATTATCCAAGAGAAAAATAGTAGAAGGCCTGGGAGGTGCTCAGACAGTCCTCTGGAGGGATTGTGCAGCTGTCTGTGGCATGGAGTGCTGGAGTACAGAGTGACTCCGTGACCAGAACAGGACGGGCAGTGGTCATATCTTGGGGAAGAGGTGCATCCTCTGGTATTTATCAATGGAAACAATTGAGAAGCCTTTCTCAGGGGCACAATATGATCTGGTTGAGTTATTAAAGGATTGCTGGCTGCTGTGGGGAAGCGGACAGATAGCAAGGTTAGAACGGTGAGTTTCGTTAAGCGATACTGTTGTCATTGTCTAGGCTGATCTCTCATCCCCTGTGAGCTGTCCGCTAGTATATATTTTTCATACATATATCCAAAGACTTTGCCTGTTAATGTAGTGTATACATTAAAAAATAGAAAATAAAAGCATTAGGAAAAAAATTAACAAATAGAAATACTACTGTTTTGTACCCTTCCCCAGTGTATGTTTAACTTAACATTGAGCACTTCTAAACAATAGGCCATTTAACAAAAATGATGGCAAAGGAGATAGAAGACAGAAAGTAGGAGGTTGCACTGACAGGATTTGGAAATTTTAGTGAGAGTGAAAAAGAAGGAAGTGGGGAGGGGCCCTATATTTCTGGTTGGTGTAACTATGTGGGTTAGAGTGTGGTTAGAGTGAACGGATAATCTGTAGTAAACTAATTGTGTTTGTTAGAGTAGCAGTGTACCAGAATGAACGTGCACTGGATAGTGCCTAGAGTATCAAGGCAGGTGTGTTGTGGTGAAGGAAGGGTCTGAGCTGTGCATAAAGAAGAGCAAGCAAAGAAATACACATGGAGACAGATGGTGTTGCCTGGTGGCCAGATGGGTAAATTCAGGCCCTTTACCTTCTGGTTGAGTCTTGAGGTTTCTTTAGCTGGAAGCAGAGTCATTGATTCTACAACTAAAAATAAATGGCTAACAAAACACTTTATGGACTGAGGAGTATGAAGATTGTTGCCAGCACAGCCAAATGAATGATCAGCAATTTATCAGCTAGTGGCTGACATCATCAGATTTGCTTAGAGGAGAATACAGTGCATTTGAGGTTGTAAGTTGGGGGAGGATTTCCAGAAACACAGGAGAGGAAAAGACTGGACATAAACAGTTTTGCCTAAGATTGTGGTGAAAAAATGAGAGAAGCTCTAAATGATAATATTTTTTTTGTGTGTGAGTATAGTTGCATGGCACTCCATTTCCTGAGCTATATGCAAAGGTTTCTTATATTAAAATTTGAACTAGTGCTTGTGAAAATGTTTCAAGATGCAGTTTTAAAATGCTCGCTGCTTTGCTTGAAATGTACTGTTCATGATTGTCATGTCTTCTGGCACAGTGCCCTACCTTAGGGCACCCACTTGTTTTCTTTGTGCTTTTTATAATACAGGTAGCTGTACCACTGTAGTACCTGCCTCCCTTAGGTAGCATAGAGCAAACACAGACCCTTTGCTTTTATTCCTTGTCAGTCCTTTGGAAACACCACAGGCCTCACGGGTAGTCTGCCAGCACAGATGCTGATGTTGGGCTCACTCAAGCACTCAGTAGACCAGCTGTCTAGAGAGTGCAAATCAGTTCCAAACCAGTCTTGAAGCAAATATTAATTCATTTAATCCTCAGTGAAAATGCTGCAATGGGAATATCACCATTACAAATTGCCTTGAAACTAACTGCTAGAAATAGAAACCTCTACTGTGAAAAGTGTGAATGCAGCTGAGGTGATGGTGCAAACCCATAGTCCTAGCACTCTGGCAGGCTGAGGCAGGAGGATCAAAAGGTTGATCCCAGCCTAGGCTATTTAGGTAATGAGTCTCTCTTGCAAAATATAAAAAGGGCTGGAGATACAGTTCAGGAAAAAGGCCCTGGGTTCAATTCCCAGTACCACCAAAACAAACAAAAAACAAAAAAAGCATGAATGCTGAGAGTCTGCATAGTAATTTTATACAGTAATGGAGACTAAGCCTAACAGCCTGTTATTTTGCACTGCTAATATCTGACCCAAGACTTTTGTTTTCTGCTCTGATAAAACATCTGATAGTATAAAGTACTGAGGGCTGGGATAAAGCCAGAGGGCCATTCCACACACTGCTATGGACAGGAAGGAACATTCATGACTTGAAGGCCAGAGTAGTTGATGGGTAAGTCTTTTTTTCTCCAGAATGTTGTTATAGGTCTTTTTGTTTACATTTTTCATACATTTTAACCTCTGAGTTTATGTTTTTATTTGCAGCTCACCCTAATTGCTGTCAGCCCTAATCAATAATAGGGCTATTTTAAAAAGTGGGATATCCTTTCATAGGTAGAATAAAAGTAGATGGAACATCAGTGCAAGTCATCCAACTATGCTGAAATGATATTCTTGGACTTAACCTGGGTGGTGAATCTTCTTTCTTGTCTTCTCCCTTCTCCCTCAACTGAGTGAAGAGTTAATAGGGTCAGTATTAAGCAAGAAATGATATCAGCTTGTGCATATGACAGCATGTATAATTTAGGGTTTCAGGAAATTTGGACTGCAGTAAAATTTTAGCAACCTTATCAGAATATAGATCAGTATTTTACTTAATAGTATAAAGTAAAAGTGGAAAGACATCTAGTGCAACAATGTTTCTTAGTAGTTTAAATTGTGAGAAAGATTGAGAGTTCTTGGTTGGAACTGTTTTGTCCTAGTAATAATTCTGACAATTGTCAGATGATGGTTTGCTAAAACTATTGGTAATGGAATGTGGCAATTTCTTTCTGTCAGACACAAGATACATTGTAGGTTTTTCTTGTAAGTTTTTCTTTTTCCTGATTGTCCTTATGTGTTTTTCCTTTAAAATATGGACTAAAGGACCTAGAAGGTAGAACTGGCAAATTAGTTACGTTTTTTTATTTAATAAAAAGTTTATTTTATGGAAGTAGCTGTTTATAAACCTCAGTAAGACAAAAAAGCAGTTAAACTTAAAATGTAATCATTGAATTTTTGTAACTTATTTATCTTCTTTGGGATAATCTCATTAGTTTGTTAAATATTTTATATATATGCCTGTGGTCTTTGTATGTCTTAGGTCATTACTATAAATATTGTGCATGCAACTTTAGTACTAATAGGTTGGGTGGCTGGATGTACTTAGCAAAGGTGACATTTATCAGTCTTATTTTATGTTGGCAAATATCTCCAGTATGTAATATTTTAAAACTTAATTTAATTATGTTGTCTATTTCGAAACTGATGAAAAAATTCTCTTGATTATTTGACTTACATACCATTATTGTGTATGTATTCTTTAAATACAAATTGGCTTGGTTTTTTCTATGGAAACATTTTAGTTAGCTAACAGGAGTTATATTATTTAAAGAACTTAGGTTCAGGGAAATATAAAATGCTGTCTTGTTTGCCTTTCTGTGATCTGTTTTAAACAGTAGATTTGTAAGCTATTAACTGCTTTGTTAATATCAATGGAAAAAAGAAAGTCTCCCCCTGCTGAAAATAATTTCTTTAGGATTTTATAGAAAATTTTTATTATTTATTGGTGGAAATTTTTGGATGTCATAATACAAGAAAACATTTTATTTTTATCACCTTGATTTCAGAGAAGCCCTTTCTCTTTATAAGTTATTACCTTCTCTTTGATTTTTCCCTCCTAAAAAGAATTTACTTCATTGACACTTCAGGTCAATTTTAATGTAAATAGCCAAAAGGTGGTCACACATTCTTAATAATATTTTTTCAAATATGTGTCCATGCTGAGAAAAAAACCAGTAAAATGTGGCTTGTTAAAATAACAATGAGTAGTTATTTTCAAAGTGCAAAGCAAACAAAAATACTTTATATCAGTGAATGTACAACTCTTTAATTGCAGCAGATGGTTTATAATGGCTTGTTTTCCCCAACTGACGGAAATGAGTTAATCTCATGTTGAGCTAGCCTTATTTCCCCTAAATTTTATTCAGATGCAATTCTCCTAAGTGGAATTGTAGGCCTAATGAAATTTACTCTAATGGCCGTAGATCTTTACTTCCTATACTTCATCTTTATTAACTTTTTAAAAATGTAATCCTAAAATCAGATTGCATTCTTTGATTGTGCCACTCAGGAAATAATTAGGCTATAGACCATCATTTGATCTATGGCTTATCCTAGATCCACAAATAAGATTACGTATAAATTATTTCTACAAGTTATGTTAAAGAGGATGCGTTCTTATTAAATTACAGAGCTTCCAGGATGAGGATCTAGATAGGACGTATGTATAGACACATTTTGAGCCTTTCAAAGCACCTGTTAGTTAATGTGAAGTTCTTCAGATGGCCCACTGTCCTTGAAGCTTCTAACACCAAGGTGTCTTTGCAGCCCAGAGCCAGGTTACTGCTACCCAGGACAGCACTAATTTGCGATGTATTTTCTGTGGTAAGCAACATTATGTTTACATTACTTTTTCAAGCTGTGGTACATACTACTTGCGCATTTCCATACTTTTTGTTTCCTTAGGCCATAGTCTGGTCTGTGGTATCTGGGATGTAGAGCAAGCTGCTGTTTTTATGTTGTGATATTTGTTGTGGTTCATGTAGGTGATTTGGTCAGCTTTTGAGTTGGCGTATTAATGAGGATTTAGTCTTAAAACTGTTTTTGTCTACTTCTTCCAATAGAAATGAGACATAATTTTATTTGTTCAATTTTGTTTTTAACTATTTTTGTTGGGAGCAAACTTTAAATTTAGAATTCAAGGAAAAAATTTATGTCCATTTTAAATATGATGTGAAGAATGTATATATGCCTTATTTGAAAGAAGTTTTTGCTGAAGTTGAATTAGTTTTAGCTATGCAACTGTAAGAGAAAGATGTAAACTTACTACTTGCCTTAATAGGTTGATATCTGGGTAACAGGCTCCTTTATTTAGTAGGTTAGGTGTCTGTTGGTTAGGAGTAAGCTTAGGCTTTTGGAGTGCTTTCCTTCACTTGCTTTCTTATACATATATGCACATGTATGTACTGCCTGCAGGGACACACTAGGCTTGTCACTTAGTCACTCAGCTTAGAGTGAATAGATACATATTCTTATCCTTATGTGAGGAGATACATATATCCTTATCTGAATTCCTTTTATACCTATTTGATTCTGAAATTTCCTGTTTTAAAAACCCGGGTTCTAAAAAAGTCAATTATTTGAGTTTTTTCTTTTTTTATTCATATGTACTTTTGACGCATGTATACCTTGACTGGCCACATTATCTTCTGGAAGAGATAAAGATATAAATGACAAAGTGAGTCAGCTGTGTAGGGTGCCACATGACTCAGAACTTTTTAATGTGGTTTAATATCAGTAATGTAATATTATTGATATTGTTTCTTTAATTTTTAAATTACTGGTACAGGCAAAAAAAAAAAAGTTACAAATTTTTAAAAAGAAAAGAAAATCCTAATGTATTTCTTTACTCACCTAAAGTGATTGGATTTGCCCCAGGTGACACAGTTAATAGCAGTGAACCAATTACATGACTTTTTATAAATTCCCCTTCCTTCCTAGATTCCATAGTTAAATATTCCAGAATAAGTGATTAATTAGTAGTCTTATTTCTGAAGTTTCTGCCTACTAGGCCATCTTTTGAAGTAGCCTCAAGTGATTATTGATATTTGTGTTAGTAGGATTCTGTTTAGCTGATTTTGAAAAGACTGTAACTTTCTCCTTAAAAATTTGAGGGCCACATGCAGAATAAATAACTCCTGGGAAAAAGATTGATTTGACCCCCGAAAGATGATACTTTTAAAGTTTATGAAATAAAAGCTTTAAAAAGCAGATTTTTTTCTTCCCCCATTGTTACCTTTAATTGTACACAAACAATATAATTGCCACTTTGTTAAATTTAAATTTGATTGAATTGTGAATAATAACACCTATTTGTCTTTTAGTCCTGTTTTAAAATATTCTGTCATTAAGTGCGAAACTAGATTTGTGAAAATTTAAATAAGGACAGTAAGTGAAATGGGCTTTAACCAAAACTCAGTATCGAAGGCAAGATTGAAATGGCCACTCCTAATTTAGAGGTTCTAATTGGAGTTCCATTATTTATAGTATACTGTGTCAATGACATTGCCATATTTTTTTTTATTAGAAACAAAAATTCACACACTTTTCTACGTATTCTCCTTCAGCTAGGACAAATTAAAGTCAAACTTTGTTTTTGGCTCTACTAATCAAACATGGAGAGAGTGACCCTAACGTATCAGCAGCTGTGTAGTGGAACAAGGCAGGGTCACTGATGTAACCACCACATGATGTTCATAAAATATCGTCATTTACCCCCTAAGATGGTTATGAAATTAGCCATTTATATGTTATGAGCACAGATAGCCATGCAGGAACATAAGCTATGTGGAGTCATAGTTACAGAGCACAAAGTGTAGTGGTAGCTGACAGCCTTGCCTAATCTTAGCTGCTGCTTCACATTTCTGGTTATAGCCTTTGGTATTCCTTACCAATTTTATCACCTGTTAGTCTGTTAGCGGCAGGGAAAAAGGTAATTGTGTACCTGTAGTTCATAATTTACCTGAGACTTTTATTTAATACAGCACATTTGTGCTCATTTTTAAGGGAACATAAATTTCACCGGGCTAATTTTTGCAACTTGACAAAATTGATGAAGAAAAAAACAAAAAGTCAGATTAAATATCAGTGTGAGAAAATGACAAGGGGAGAGATTCCTTTCCTCTTCTCCATTTATAGAATGAAAAGACAGATGGCCCATTATCACAAAGAACCATTTAGCAAAGAATTTTAAAAGTTGTTCCTGGACTGGGATTCTCCCCATTTTAAAAGGATCTTCTTTAAATGTTTTTTCCCATACCATATGCATGAATAAACTATAGTAAATAATTTTTATAACTAATGATATTAGCCACAAAATATTACCCACATTTAAAAGCCTTTCTAAACAGATGTATTGAGTAAACTTTTAACAAGCTGAACATTCAGAACATGCTTTGTAAATTGCTGAAAGATTTTTTCATTCATTTTATTGCATATCAAATTTGTGCTTTTTAAAAAAATCTGTTCAATGAAGTCAGTAGGATTGAGTTGAAATTTTGACATTTTTTCTTAAATTTATATATTTGAGTTAAAACTTAGATTTCAGTTAAAGATTTCAGTTAGTGAAATTACGAAGATTACTGTTGAAACAGAATGCATATTTTAGATGTGAACAAAATAGCTACAAGCATTAAACAAGTCTATAACTCACTGACATTCAGCTTTATCATTATTTATACAGCCTGATGTTTTCACTTAAATTCTCTTTTTGTTTGTTTGTTTTTTTGTTTATTCTTCTGGTACCAGGAATCGAACCCATGACCTTGCGCTTGCCAGGCAGGCACTGTGCCGCTGAGCTAAATCCCCAGCCCCTTCACTTAAATTCTCAAATATTGTTTTTTAAAAAAAATAGTTAAATCATAATGGTTCTGTAGATTGCCTGTGCCAGATGTTTGTATTGTAATAATTTTAAATGAACTGTGGATGTACTTTGTAAAGTACATTCTTGCAAAATTTTATACTTTCTCAAATTTACCCTCCCCCATTGTATATACCTGACCTTCTACCAGAAGGTGGTATCTATTTCTATAAAATATTATGGCCCAATATGGTACGTCATTATGTTAATTTGCCCGGGAAAGTATTTTAGTATGTTTACTAGGCAATAATTATATATTTTTATTTATATAAACATTTATGTGTTTATTTAATTTTGATTTAAAGAATTTTGATTTTTTTGTTTTGTTAATGATTACATGGGATTAAATATTTTTATATTTTATTTGGTTCTCAGAGTCTTAGGAAATCTAATGAAACATGTCACTGTAATTGTGTAATTTGTCATTCAAGGGCAAATTAAATGATTAATCTAAAAATATTATAAACAGTGAAGGAAAAAGTAGGTAAGTTTAGATAAAATTATCTCTGTTTATCTACTCCTGGGATACACCAGAAGTGTATTACATCCTGATGAACTTTTGTTTCTTATAATGAAGCCTACTCTACTAGTATAAAGTAGATCATTTATGCTCTTAGCCCATAGATTACAATAATTTGCTTTACACACAGAAGGTTTTATTTACTTATTTTTTAATATTAGTTGTCTACAAAAATCTTTCAGAATTTCTGCTTAGCACATTTAGTGGCACACTAGAGATAAGAAAAATATATAGTATATCATCTCTCATTTATTCCTCTCCAAGAACAGGAGATAACTGTTTCTTTACTCTCTCATTTACTGGATTAGATTTCAAGATTGTTCTAGTTTTATATTAGGCTCAGCATTTTTATCTCATTAAATTTTAATATGCAGTGACATGAAGATGTCCTATCACTTAGTGGCATCCTAAGATACTAAAAATGGATCTGCATTGTGCATGGTGTGTGGGAATGGATGGTCATTAATTCTCATGGCAGAATCATGTTGGTGTGAATGTAGGTGGTTTTTTGGTTTCTTTCCCCTTACACCAAGTGAAAAGTTAAGAGTATCTTTTGTTACATTAAAAAATTCAGATAAGCAGGTTAATTTAGTATGTGGAAATGTAGCAAATGTTTTGTTTCCACCAATACTGGAAATTTCAGGTCATTAAGCAAAAATGGCAGCTAATTTGGGCAAATTTGATAAATGCATTAGCCTACTTCAGTCTAGTAATAAGGTTCTCATGCTCTCTCTCTCTCCTGTTTTTCACTTCCAGTGTTCTATTTAGGTGAGTTTTTGAATTCTGATTTTTCATTTAAGTTCTCCTTCTCCACTTCATGAGCAGTTGCCCCAAAGAGAATGTCTCATTGTCTTAGAAAATGTCAAACCTAGGTGCCTATTCAGATGCTCATTGAATACTTGTTTTACTCAAGCTCTTCATATATAAATGTTTATTTTTTTCCTTATTGTTGATGTTTTCCATTTGTTTCAAGTGGAAATGATCTCCATCTTCTTGGAGATGATGACAGCATTATGTTGCAGTCTTTCATTTGCTCTGTGTTATATAAAGCTTATATTTTATTTTGCTAGACAAAGAGAAGATACATTTGTAAATATGTGATGGTTTTATGTTACTGTCATGATTTTTAGCTCCTCTATCAAGTTACATATATAGGTAATATTCACCTGTAATGTTTTCCCTTTGTAGGCCCAACATTGCCTAGACAAAATTCACAACTACCTGCTCAAATTCAAAATGGCCCATCCCAAGAAGACTTGGAAATTCAGAGAAGGTAAATTTTCAAGTTACTTTTTGTACTCTGTCTTTGTATTTCAGAAGACCAAACTCTGACCCCACTAATACTGAGAGTAGATTATCAGCTCTTTGAAAGTCACAGCTTTTATGTTAGTAAGCTTTGAAACCATCATTACTGAGTAGATACATGTTACAGTGGACACAGACATTATAAAATTTCATACCTACTTTTTTGTAAAAAACATACAGTACATTTAAAATATTTTAAATATACTTTTTTTTTTTTTTTTGGTTTTTCTCCGGTACCGGGAACCGAACTCATGACCTTGCGCTTGCCAGGCAGGTGCTTTTGCCGCTGAGCTAAATCCCCAGCCCCTATTTTAAATATACTTAACAGCATACAAAATGTCTTTACCCTTCAGTAAGTCTTCTTTGTGTAATAGTCTGTGGGCAGTATAGATTGCACATGACCAACCAGAAAGTTGAAAAATTAATAGTTCTATAATATATTGATCTTGAGATACTGTGGTAAATTTCAGTAGAATACAAAACTATCCTGCTTATAACTAAATGCTGGTGAATCAAGGTCATTATTTCCATGTAGCCTGGAAATACACTTGAAATTATAATGCAGCCTCACGTAGAGATAGATTTTTCTGAGTTAGTGAAGAGTTTGAATTGTAAAGCTACTTTGTGTCAAGATTATTTTCTAAAATTCTGGTATATTCATTAACTAAAATTGAACTAGTCAGTCTGTGTGTCCCATTTTCAAACAATTTTATAGATGTTGATGTTGCTTTTTATCACTGTTAGATCGCCTCCATTTGTTTGGAGGGTTGATCACTATTGTTTGATGGACCATTCTTATATGGGATTTTCCATGAGGAACATTTGTTCCACAGCACACAAGCATTTCTTACTGTGGCTTTTGGTTGGTATTTCACATTTCAAAGATTTTTCATTTTCTCTGTGTTGGTTTAATGTTTGTGTTCTATTCCTGTGGTTGGCTGAGAATTCTGGAGGATAGCTACTTAGCTCTTGAAGTTCCCCTAAGATCTTCCGGAGTGAATTTTGCTTTTGCCGTAGAGCCTACATATATTGGTATACTCAGTCATGGCACTTTGGAAATAGCTTCCAAATTTAGTGAAAATCCACCCTTTTGAATGATGCTATAACAGATATAAATAAAATTCTCTCTGTAGAAATAAGCTTAAAGGATATAGTAATTTCAGTTCTGAGAGTTTTAAAAATACCAGAATAATTCCAAGAGTGAGGAGTACAGTGAAATAGAGAAATAATGAATAACAAATGACGGACCGTACTATCGTTGAGAATAACACATGTGTAAGTAATAAGGAAGAACCAGGAGAGAGTGCAGACAAAATAGAAGAATCTCTGGTTACCATGTGGCCCAGAAAGTAGCTCCTGCAATCTTGCCAAAGATTAGAACCTCAAGGGTAGAAGCAGGAGCCATCCCAGGGTGTGCTGGCTTGGTAAGGTCAGAGGGTGGGCCACTGCATAGGGAACAGACTAGTTAGAAATGAGTGTCAAGTGCAGTTCTCATAGTCATTATGGAAACCCCATGCCTGGTACTAATTGTTTCTCTTGTCATTGTGCTTGCCTAGAAGTGCTCCTTTGGATTTGGTTTTTCTGTTTATATGCACATAGATCTATAGGGTTTGAAAGTAGTTTCCTTAAAATCAAGGTTGTTAGTTTCACTACTCATTTGTTTAGTTGAAGACTTTATCCAGCATTTTGAAAAGTAAAATTTAAATTTCCAAAACATTGGTTTGATTTTTAAATGATTTTCTGTCCATAATCATGCACTAGATTCTTTCTTTAGATGACTCTTCTGTAAGATACCAATCAATTTCTTTCCTCTCCTTTTCCATTCCTTTTCTTTGCGCTCTACCCATTTCTTTTTAGTCTAACAAGACCTACCTTGTCTTCACAAGTCTGCTAGCCATGGTGCTTTTATCACAGACTGATTCCTGGTTTACATTTCTTGACTCGCATTTGCCCTCCTGTGTCTTCTTTGGTACTCTAGTCTCTTCTCAGTGCTGATTCATCTTCCTTTCTGTCCTTTCCTGGACTGATTTTTTTCACACGTCTTTAGGTATTTGCTTTTTCTTTCTGCGTACAGCATACTCTATGCAAAATTGAGGTTGGAGTTGGTGTATTAGTCCATCTTTCATTACTGTGATAGGATTCCTGAAGAAGATTGCTTTCTTAAGAGAGGAGAGTTAATCAGCTCCCAGCTTTGGAGGTTTAGGGCCTGGTGCTGGCATTGGCTCAGCTCTAGGTCAGTGCTTTTGTCTGGGATCTATCATCCATTCCCAGAGGACACATCTAGTAGGCCAAAGGAACCTCCCATTAGGCCCATCTCTCAAAGATCGACACTGTCTGCCGGCACTGCTACCTGCAAGCCTATGCCTCTAAATCATGACCACTTAGAGGGCACAGACTCTGTCCAACCAGAGCAGTTGAATGTTGTAGTTCTCTGTTAGCACTATTGTGTCTGCTAATGCCTTTCAAACCTACAGCCCAGCTTTGAGCCTTCAATTGCTGTCCATGCTCACAAATCCAAATATCCTTAGTGGCCCATGTCATGGCTCTGCTGTGCAGTGATTCTCTGTATCTGTTGGTCCATGAAGGCAGATGGGTGAGCTCTCCTGAGGGACCACACAGGTGACCTTGAAGGCCCACACCTCCCTTCCTATAGCAAGCTGTCTTCTGTGGGTATGCCATTCCATTCACTGGACCAGGGAGTGAGGGGAGCCTGGTAACCAGGTGTCCTATAGACCATGAGTTTGTGACTCATCTTGATTCCTGCCCTCTCTCCTTGCTCTTTTCTTTGGTCGGGTGAGGTCTTCCAGGCTGCTCCTCCCATGCACACTTACAGCTGCACTCCATGACCCCAGTGCCTCCATGGCTCAGTCCAGTTACACTCAGGCACTGCTAAATGCTTATGACATGTGGGACAGGCAGTAGGAGTGGTCTGTCATCTTCATCATCACTGCACACAGTGGTATGGCAGATGATAAGTGCTGTAGGGAAAAAAAGTAATGCAACTGTGTGCTACAGAAGGGCATGGAGAAGTGCTGGATATAGATCTTACTGGGTTGAAAGAAAAGAAGGACTTAGCCAAGCAGGTACCTGTGGAAGCAGAGGGAATGGTCAGTGCAGTGGCAGAAGGTATCATGTGAGCAAGAGGTCCATAGAGGCTGGAGCCAAGCAAGACTAAAAAGGAGGAGTGCAGGAGATGAGGTCCAAGGTGGGGCCAGACTAGACAGGGATCTGATGCTACTGAGAGCATCAGAGCATTCTGAGCAGAGGAGTGATGTGACTTACACATTAATGGAATCAGTCCACAGATGACAGAGGTAGGGGCCGCACTGTGAAAGTAACTGGACAGGAAGGTAGCTAAGAGGCTAGTAACAGGTGGGAAAATTCAGCGCCCACCCCCGTCCTGCTGGACCCTTGGGGGGCAGGTATGACAAGAAGGGGGGTTAAGGTTTCAGGCTGAGCTGGGGGGAGCAGTCTATGAGGGTATCAGAGACAAATGCTAGGGGTGTGGGGTTGAGGTGTTCACCTGGCATCCAAGCAGAGCTGTGGAGTAGATGCACCACTCTGCCTAGAGAAGGCTAGGAAGGAAGACAGGGCATGTTGCTCCTTTCGGTCCTTTCTGTCCTCCAGAAGTGGGGTGATAAATTCACTGTACTAATGATAGCCCTCCTTCAGCTCTGCTTTGTCACAGGTGCATTTGTACACATTCTGTGGTTCTGGAATTGCAGTAGAATTTTGGAGTGGAAGGTATTTCAGCTATTCTTTCTGCCAACCTGAGGGAGAGCCTTACCACACTCCAGCTTTGCCTTCTCTGGCCCCTTGTCACAGCCGGGCGCTTAGGAGCATGCCTGTGGTGGTATCTGGCATCCCTTGTAACTGCCTCCCTCTAGACTGTGTTCATCTTACCCTGTGCTGGTATGTGTAGCATTGGCCTCTGCCATGCCCACCTCATACTTCCTGTGTAGTCCTTTTCTGTACTCTTCTCCACCCACACTAATACCTGTCTTTTCTGAATTCCTGTAACTTAATCAGACACTTACATTTTCTTCTAAAAACAAAAAACAAAACAAAATAAAAAGCAGGTACAAGTGGTGATGAATTTAGTAGGTCAGGAAAAGCGTAAATCTAAGCAGACACAAAAGGAGAGGAGGCGCGAGTTACTGTGGCGCCCAGCAATAATGAGCCATCTCATGGTGCTTTATGGCTGGTTAGGTCTGCAGTTCTTTCCTCCGCCACACCGAGAGAGGCAAGCAGGCACTTTCACACGGGCTGGGCAGAGTTCCTCTAACCACTGCTATTCAGTGAAAGTGTGAGCAAGCACCTGTGGTTTCAAAATCTTGTAGGGGCCACATTCTTAAAAATTCAAGGGAAACAAGTACAATAAATTCTCACAATACATTTAACTCTATATATGAAATATTTTAATAGGTCATCAATTAAAACTTTTAGAGATATTTTACATTGTATGTGTTAGGCATGGATTTTGATGCATGGAGCACATCTTACTTCCTCCAGGGTGTGTTAGGAAAGCTCCCTTGCAGCCTCAGGATGGTGGCTACATATCTGAAAGCACAGCACAGCAAACGAGGGATTGGCATCCTGCAGCTCACAGGCACGTTGGTCCTGCCAAGAGCCCCCCCAACCCCAGAGATTTTCAGGCACTCCGAAAGTTCCATAACCTGAGGATAGACCTCCTAAACCCATAGGCCCCACAGGACAGGTCCATTACACGAGAACAGACCCCATATGCCAGGGACCTGAGGACAGACTGGCCAATAGAAAGCATGTGCAATAGAAAGACTGTGCAACCATGTGTTACAGCAGCCATTGATATTTTCCTACTAATCTGTCCATAACTCTGTAATGTTTGTATTGTTCCTATGCTATTTCATAAATGGATGTATGTTTATTATTATGTTTCCTACAATAGCCATTGAGAATAAGTAATGATTATTCAATTGGTCACTCACG